GGGGGTTATTGACACCGAGAGGAGAGGAGGAGGAGGAAACGATCAAGGAGCCGGGACACGGGACATTGGAACATTGTCAACAGAAAGTGACAGTTGCAGAAGTACCGTCCATCATTCTTATCAAAGCACGCCGGGTGGCACTAAAGACATTGCTGTGGAGATCTTTGAGTCGAAGCATGGATTCTCAGCAAGTGGACATTGATGGAAGTGTTCTGGAAGGGGTACTGTATTCATACTATTTGAAGTACGGTTGGACTCACGTTTAACATTCTTGAATAAAAATTTCTTTTTTAATTACCCAATTGATATGATAAAGGATGCACAATTGTGTCATATTCTACCAATGTCAAAGCTATCACATTATATTCTCTTCAAACAAACCGGCTTTTAGGTTAAGGGTTCTCCAGTACAAAAACTGATACTTGTCACTTTATTTTTCCAGGGTGGACAAATTTTAAGAATGGCTGTCTCTCTTAGTGCAATTCTGAAAATTCCAATTCGGGTGAAGAGTATTCGTGCAGGAAGGGACAAACCAGGTTTACGAGCACAGCATTTGAAAGGATTAGAAGTGGCTCGTGATATCAGTGGTGGAAAATTGTGGGGATCTTCCCTGCACTCAACTGAAATTGTTTTCCATCCCGGTCATCTCCTGGGAGGAAATTTTTCAGCTGACACTGAAACAGCTGGGTGTGTATCAATTAATTAATTAATTAATTAATTAAAGGGCCTAAGGAGCACAGCCTCATCACGACTATTACTAAATTTTAGACTGTGAATTAATTGTTGTTTTAATTGCTTCTAGTAACTGTTTTTGTTGACATTTCAGAAGTGTCAGTCTACTGATCCAAGTCATTTTACCCTGTGCACTGTTTTCTCCTTCACCTGTTCATCTCAGTCTTCGTGGTGGGACAAATGCTGATATGGCTCCGCAGATAGATTATACTGTGACAGTAAGTATTTTATATAGTTGAAGTTGATGACACATTGTGGTTTTGTCTTTAATTGTGCAAACCAAACTCTTTCTATTCAAATAGGTTTTTAAAAAGCTCCTGGAAAAGTTTGGTGGAAATTTTGAAGGCTGTATTGAGAAGAGGTAACATCCTATCCATACTATATAATTAAGCTAAACATAATTCCATAATTGCTCTGCCAATTTTCTCTTCATCTAATCCTAATGAGTCATGTCATTTCAACAGGGGTTACTTTCCACGGGGTGGAGGACTTGTTCATATGAAAATTGATCCAGTGTCCCAACTGTGTCCAGTAACTTTACTGGATTTAGGACAAGTGACCCGTGTGTGGGGAAGAGCGTTTGTAGCGGGAAACATTCATGTTCAGGTAGAACAAGTAATCTTAACTTGCTTGAAAACAAAATTAATCAAAAGAACAGTCATACAGCTTAGAATTTTGATTTTAGGAGGCAAAAAAAATGGCTGAACTATGTCAAAATGAAATAAAATCTGCATTAGGGAATATTCCTGTGGAGATAATTGGCTACAAAGAAAGCCCACAACAAGCTGTTGGAAATGGTTCTGGTGTCAAGTAAGTCACTTCATTACTACATTTCCGCATCCTTTAAATTGAACCATTCATAAATATCTATGTTTTTTCTAAATTAGTTTATTTGCTGAAACAAGTACGGGTTGCATATTAGGAGGTTCATCTCTTGGAAAAAGAAATTTAAATGTCCATGAAGTATCGTCTCAAGCTGTTAAAGAACTTATTGATGCATTAAAAAGTGGTGCTTGTGTAGATACTCACTCACAAGATCAGGTATGTCATTAATGAAAGGTTTACCCGTATCTTCCTTTTACGCCTCTTCATTTTTTCATTGTCTTTTTTTTCCATAGGTAATAATTCTTATGGCTTTGGCTGCTGGTAAATCAAGTATCATGTGTGGCCCCATCACTTTACACACTAAAACTGCTATTCATATTGCTCAAATCTTGACTAAGGTATGGAAATCGCAATTTTAATTTTTTCTCCAATTTACTAAACAAATATTCCACCCTGCTCCCCCACCTGAAGAAAATAAAAAAACAACATGCAATTGTATTGTTTCAGGTATGTTTCCATATTGAAGAATGTTCAGATGGGAGAAGTATTATCAGCTGTGAAGGGATTGGAATGAAAGCAGTGTCGTCATCACCAATGGAACATTAATTTTTGAATTTTTCCCTTGTAATAATTTTGGAATTTTTGGAAAAGTAACTGCTTATTCTGCGTGACTTACATTAACGACTGTGATGGTTATATTTGATCTAGTCTCATAATTTATTGTTTGAATTGATGAGCAACATGGATGATGATTGATTTAAAATGTATTTATTAGCGTTGTGGTAAAAATTTGAACAACAATATTTTTTAAAGGCGGATATTCAACCTTGTTCTAAATTTGTATATGTTCACCAGCTGTGATTGGAACCCGGTCCTGCACAAAATTACTTTAGCTGAGAGGCATACAGCATAATAAAAAACAAAGGAGTATGTATAATGCTCTGTACCTTATTGTGAGACATATCAAGTTCATCTTCTGCTGTCGGAAGGAACGTCTGTGCCACCTCTTCCTATTCTCCAGGTGTTTTTTTATATAAAAGAAAAGAACATGAGGTACATGTGTTAAGATTTAAGTTAAAAAGGAGGTGTGTTTGATTTACGTTTCCCTTATCTGTACCACTGCTGGTGGTGGGGCAGGGAGTGCCAGGCTGACCCCTTGCACGAGCCAGGCGTCCATGCGGATAACTGGCAGCCGCAGGCGGTCCCTCGCGGGGGCTAGAATCCGGCAGATGAGGGACTTGCAGGCGGCCGACACGCGCGGCTGCTCGGGGAAGACCACTTTGCTCTGCACCTGCTGTAGGAGGCACGGCGCGCACGGTGCTCATGTCCCTTCTGTCCCCTATGCTACGCTACGCCACCCACCACCACCACCGCCCTCACCCTGAGCAGCTGGTTGAACTTGGAGTCGTCGAAGGGCAGGCGGCCGAATACGATGGCGTACAGCACCACCCCCATGGACCAGATGTCGGCGAGCTGCGGCTGGTACGGCACGCCCCGCAGGATCTCAGGTGAGGCGTACGCGTAGCTGCCGCAGAACGTCTCGGAAAGGTGCGGCGCTGGAGAACGGCGGGGAAAATTGATTTTCAAATAAAACGCGAAATTATCCTAATGGTCCGACCAGGTAGCAAAGCGGCATACCCTGCGCGGTGGACTCTCCCCGTCGAGCGAAGCCGAAGTCGGACAGCTTGATGTTGAGGTCTGCGTCCATGAGAAGGTTCTCGCACTTTATGTCTCTTGTCACAGGGCATAGGGGGAAAGATGGCAACTCTCAGGGGATGGGAATAGTGCGGAATACTTTGCCGGTGTCGTTTCCCAGGGCACAAAGTTATTCGAGACGTGGGACTGGCCGTCATTTACCGGTTCTACCTGTGCACGATGCCCAGCTCGTGGCAGTATTGCACGGCGTCCGCGAGCTGGCCGAACCAGCGGCGGCCACGCACCTCGTCGATGTGGCTCTCGCGGCGAATGACGTCCAGGAGGCTCCCGTTGGACGCGTACTCCATGACGATGTACATCCTGAACCAGGACACGTGCATTGACATTTTATCATCGTGTCCCTTCGGACGGCTGACCGCTGGCCGTAGGTCAAGGTGTTTAAAGAGGATTATTGGAGCAGATCGCTTCACCTCGGTGCCTCGCTAAAGTAGGCGAGGCTCCACAGGGACGACCTTAACTCCTTCAAAAATTGGTTATACTAATGTTTGTTAGCTGAGCCAAGCGTCACCAGGGCTCTGTATTTTCCTTACTCATTAGTTTAAGGCACGACAAGGAGAGCGTGGGAACCCGACCCAGTCGCGACCCGTCGCGGGATTCCTACCGCGAGCGAACGTCCCGGAGGCCGTGTGGCCACACCTGGCGTTGTACGACGACGAGAAAGCGTCCGAATATAAGCGACAACGCCCGTGAGTGCGTCGGCTTTGTCCACCACACCGGCGGTCAAGCGTGTTCGAATTTAAAACCGTCTTTACGTGTTCAACGTAGAGTCCTTGGGTCTCTCCGCCATCTAGCGGACGCCGCGTGAACTGGGATGCGCGCGCGCCCTGGCGGCCGTGGTGGCGGGGCATTCAAACCGAGGCGGCGGCGCGCCCGCGCGGCACACTCGCCTGTGCGTCGTTTCGATGGCCTGCAGGAAGCGCATGACGTTCGGGTGGCGCAGCCCCTTCACCACCTCGATCTCGCGGGGCAGGAACTTGACCAGGTAGTCGGGCGGCGCCTGGAGCTTGGACACGATCTTGACGGCCACGTCGCAGTCGTGGTGCCGCGACTTCGCGACCTAGCCGTGGGCCGTGGGTGGTGAGACCGGGGGGACGTCATCGTCAACGACTCGGGTAGTTTGATGCTGCAGCGGGGCGGCGCCTCTACTTGCCTTGACGGTGGCGTAGGAGCCGGAACCGACGGTGTCCCCGACGGTGTAGCCGTGGCTCTCCAGCACCGTCGGCTTCCTGGCCTCGGCCCTCACCGTCACCGAAGGCGTGTCCGAGACCGAGGAGGCCCCGTCTTCGACGTGCCGGCACTCAGCCCCGCGGACGGCCGCCTTGGCCTCCACCACCGCCGAGGCCTCCATGGCCCCGGGGACGTCCTCCCGGTCCGGGGCCACCCCGGCGGCTTCCCCGCCGTCGGGTCCTCCGGTCGTCGTCAGGCCGGCCGGGACCTCCGCCGTGTCCATGTGCGAGTAGTCGCATAGGGGCCAACAGCGCTGCCGCCTATAAAGGCAGCGCGGGGACGCGAGAAGGGCGCGGCGGGTTAGAGTTAGAGCCCCCCCCCCC